ACTCAAAAGCTTAGGAACTCTTAGGAGAACCTGAGACATGGTTATGGACTACATGTTCCCAGAAGGCTGCTGTATTTGTTACCCCAGAAGTCTGTCCCTCATAAGATATTGAGGAGAGACCTTATTTCAAAAGAGAATCTTCTCCAAATCATGGATTGAAACTTCTTACTATTGCCAAGATATGGAATCAGCCTACATGGTCCTCAGTGGACCAATGGATCCAGAAAATGTGGTATATATACACAGTGAAAGTCTGCTCATCCATCAGAAAGAATGACCTCATATCATTTGAAAGGAAATGGAAAGACTTGGAAAAATTATATTAAGTGAAGTAAGCCAGAAAAACATAGGTTGCATGGTTTTTCTCATTTGTGGTAGGTAGTTAGAATGTGCCTATAAATCCACAAGTAAACACACCGAATTGTTACACACACACACACACACATACACACACACACACACACACTGGGACAGGTTAAATTATACAGATCTCTAGGCATTCATACACACTAAGACCACAGGCTGCTACTATTAGGAGAAGAGCACAAAGTCACAATACCTATGTGTATCTGATCATATAAAATAATATTGATCAAAATGAGCTCCAGGAAATAGATTTGCTGCTGTTCTTTTCTTTTCCTTCTGTCTTATTTTTGTTTATCTGTCTTTGGGAGGTAAAGAGGGGCACAAGCATGGTGAATAAATGCAGCAGTGGTACTCCCTAGACGATATGAGCTTACAACTTGTGGGTGGGGATGGAAGGAAAAAGCTGGGAGAAAGCAAGAGAAGGGGTAACATTGTTCAAAAAATATTGTTAAAAAAATCTGACTTATGTCATTGTAACCCCGCTATACAACACCTTTACAATGGCAATAAAAATGAATAAAAGAAATCATCCTAACTAAGGAAATGAACAATTTGTATACTAGAAACTATAAAATATTACCTAAAGGAAAAAAAGACATCCCATGTCAATAGGTTAGGGAGACTTACTGTCAAGATGCATCTACAACTCAAATCTTTTAGAGATTCAGTGTAATCTCTACCAAAATTCCAGTCATTTTTTAAGTTTAGAAAGTGCATCCATTCCATTCATGTGGAAACCCAAGTGGCCCGGACTATAAAAAACAAGTTTGAAAGATAGCTACTCTGTAAAACTCACACTCATTTCCTGATTTCAAAATACATTACAGGAAGTGGTGCTATGGCTCAAAATGGTAGAGCACTAGCCTTGAGCAAAATAACTCAGGAACAGCACCCAGGCCCTGAATTCAAACCCCACAACCAAAAAAATAGCCCACTGAACCCCCCAAACAAATATGCATATATATATTACAAAGTTATATAGTAATCAAAACAATGGCATACTGGCAATAGAAAAGAACTGAATTAAATTGAATATATATATATATACATATATATATATACATACATATATATGCGCACACACACACACTCACACAAAACAAGGATCCCAAGGCCCCTCAGTGCAAAAGGACAGTCTCTTCAACAAATGATAGTGAGGAAATCAGATAATTATAAAACAATACAAACCAATAAAGTTTGCCATAAATCTTATATTTCATAAAAATAACTTAAAATACCTACCCAAAACATCTAACATTTTGAAATTCCTAGTAAAAGAAATCCTTTATAACATTATACTTGGCAATGATTTCTGTATGGAAAGTACAGGGCACAATCAAATACTAAGAAATGGAGATTGCATGATACTTTTTAAAAATTTATACATCAGCCAGGTGCTGGTGGCTCACGCCTGTAATCCTAGCTGCTCAGGAAGTTGAGATTGCAGTAGAAAGCCAGCCCTGGCAGGAAAGTATGTGAGACTCTTATCTCCAATTAACTACCAGAAAACCGGAAGTGGCACTGTGGCTCAAGTGGTAGAGTACTCACTTTGAGCTGAAGAGCCCAGTGCCCAGGCCCAGAGTTCAAGTCCCATAACCGATGAAAAATATTGTACATCAAAGAAATATATATATATATATATATATAATAAAGCAAAATATCAGGCTGTGAAATGGGAAAATAAATTTCAAGTCATATATCTGGTAAGAGAGTTATATCTAGAATATGTAGAGATCCTAAAACTCTATAATAAGAAAGATTTAATCCCTCCCCCAAAAACCCAATGAACCCTATTAAAATGGGGGAAAATGCTTATGAAAAAAATGGTTAACATCACTAATAAACAAAGAAATGCAAATCAAATCATAGTAGGCTATATAGCCTCACAGCCATTGGAATGGTTGTCACTTGAACAATAAACAGTATTACCACCTAAACAACAAGGAAAAAATATAAAATATGTCTTAAGGAGGACTGTTAGTGGGATTTATAGGAAGATCAACCATCATGGAATATAGTAAGATGATTCCTCAAAAGATTTTTTTTTTGTCTGTCATGGGTCCTGAACTCTGGGCTTGGGCATTGGCCCTCAGCTCTTCAGCTCAAGGCGAGCACTCTACCACTTGAGCCATAGTACCACTTCCAGTCTTTCTGCTTATATGGTGCCAAGGAATCAAACCCAGTGTCTCATGCATGTAAGGCAAACACTCTTCCACTGAGCCACCTTCCAGCCTTCCTCAAAACATTTTAAATGTCATTTTTACATGATTCAGCAATCTCATTTCCATACACATATCCAAAATATTCTAAAATAGGGTCTTAAGAGGTACTAATATCCTTATGTTTTTCATAGCATCATTGTTTACAACAGCCAAGAAATGGAAGTAAACTTAGGTCCATTGACAGATGAGTAATCTGTCCATCAATGGCTCTAGACTAAAGATAGCTCTGGGATGAGGTGAGCAGGTCTCTATCCACTTAGCAGTATAGTGTGCTTTGGAGTCTGCTGGTCACAGGGGTGTGTGCCAGTCACATAGACAAGCTTCCAGCATCCTCTCTTCTGCCAAGGACATAGCTAGGGTCTGGCTCGGTACCAATCAGAGAGAGGAAATTTAGCTGGAGCCTCTTTCAGATTCTAGTGCTCAGGTTGGTGCACATGTGGATTGAGGGTAGGGGCCAGTCAAGGATCAGTTGTCTATCTCAGGGCTGATTCACTTTAGAAGCTTTTCTTTTGGTATATTAATTTTAGTAGTCTATACAAAGAGAATTACCCGGGTTCTAGTGGCTCACACCTGTAATCCTAGTTACTAAGGAGGTTGAGATCTGAGGATCATGGTTCAAATCTAGCCCAGGAAGGAAAGTCCATGAGACTCTTATCTCCAATAAACCACCAGAAAACCAAAAGTGGTGCTGTGGCTCAAGTGGTACAGTGTTAGCCTCGAGCTAAAGAGCTGAGGGACAGTGTCCAGACCCATAGTTCAAGTCCCACGACTGGCAAAAAAAAGAGAGAATTAAAAGCAATGAGCCAGGCAGTTTCCTACTTGCTCCACAAGTCCCCAAATTTCTGTCTCCAGAGTGAGAGGTCTCCCAAAAATCTGTCAGAGAGTGTGGGAAGAAAACAGAGCACTGAGTTCTACTTTGGTAGGAGCAGAATAAGTGCAGACTCTAATTTTTAGAAATATAGGTGTCACACACACACACACACTGTCTTCAGGAGGTAGTTGTGGAAATGGGAGGGAAGGGATGGTAGGGGAAAAACAAAGGAGGAAGTAACAATGCTCAATAGGAAATGTACTCATTACCTTGCTCATGTAACTGTAACCCCTCTGTACAGCATTTTTACAATAAAAAACGTACAAAAAAAAGAAATATAGGTGTCATAGGTACAGAGGAGCAGTTTGTTTATTGTAGGATTGGTGGGATTAGACTTAGACTCTTTTTTCATTTTTATGTCTATATTTTTCCTCGTTGAAATATACTGAGTATAAGATGTATCATGTTAGCCATTTTTTAAATGTACAATTCAGTGGCGTTACAATTCACAGTCTGTTGGCTATTGTGCACAACACGGCTGAGAATATGAATATGTACATATCTGAGTCCCTGAGTTCAACTATTTTAGATGTAAACTCTGGAAATAAAGCTGAAGGGCCATATGGTAATTCCATCTCTACTTTTTTCATTATTTTTAAGTAATAGTTACCTTTAACAAAGCAGTTTATGAATACAATGCATCTTGATCGATGTTACCCCTTTTGACATTTTGACTTAGACTCTTAAGTGCATTGGGCAATAATGCTATCACTGAGCTACATTTCCACATTCTGCTGTTGTTTTAAAAGCTGCTCCCACTGGGACTGTTCATTGAAATGAGACAATGTCATAGCTACAAAAAAGATGCCAAATATTGAAGCTTACATTGTCTTCCAAAATCTAATAAGTCTGTCAACCATTAATAAATGAGTTTCCACATATTTTCATCTTAAAATAGACACTGAGGTCATAGTATCTAACTGGGACTGATCACATGTACTTCCAGACTTTTTGAGCAGTGGACAAAGTTGCTTTTCATTACCAGAACCCAAGATCAACCTTTTAATTGATCAGCAACTATCATCTCCACTGTACTGTTCATATATACTAGAAGAGGTCACTAATTTCCAAAAACATAATCAAATGACCTGTACGGAGTCATTCCTACAGAATTCAGCTGTCTACACATAGCAATGCCTCAACCACAGAACAGAATATAAATCCTATGGAAACATAGCATGAGGGAAAAATAACATAAAACTATTATGTATAATACAATTATAAAACTTAGGGTTTTGTGGTTTGGAGAAGGATTTTTTTTTGGTATGGACTGGAAACTAAAAGCAAAAAGTGCCAAGTATGAAATATCGAGAGAAGGCAACATGAGAACTTTATTCTAGAAAGTGATGCCTGCTTCAGAAGAATGTTGTCTCAAAGAAATGCTACATGACCTTAGTTAAAATTCATCCATTTGAAGACACCGAGGCATCAATGAGGCATTTCTGAGGCAGGAGGCTTAGAGAAGAAGAGCAGAAAAGAGTCCATTAAGCCATGGTCAGGTTAACTTGCAAATCCACATCTCAAGACTAGGGCAGAAGCTGTTAATCATTGCTCTGCTCTGCTTCCTTGTTTCCTGACATCCCCAGGGGGCCCCGAGAAGTATTGCCTCCACATTCATCCTCTTCAGTAGTGTCCTGAAGAGCCCTCTGGAGGAACCACTTCAGAGTCTTTCGCTGCCGATGTCTGAAGGAGCCAACAAAGAAGTAAACGATGGGGTTGGCACAGCTGTTTACACAGGAGAGGAAAAACAAAAACAGAAAAAAGCAGGGGTGATCTCGGACATTAATATAAAACCAGGTCGTTAGAAAGTAGCGGATTCCATAGGGCAGGCCACAGAAGATGAAAACCAGCACTGTGAGCAGGAGGGTGACGTACAATCTGGTCATGGGCATCCGTCGAGAGCCACAGAACATCTTAACTATCAGAGCCAGGCTGGACCCTGAGAGAATCACAAATAAGAGCATCAGATACCCAGCACTGAAATAGTGCATTCTTAGACACCAATTAACATGATGAGGACTGGTCGTGATGATACAGTGATGACTTCTTAAAATGGTCAGCAGCAGGGACAGTCCCCAGATAAGCATACACACAAACGTCGATGTGTGTCTTGGGCGGCGGCAGCGGTACCAGATAGGACACACTACAGACAGGCAGCGCTCCAGGCTAATCGCACTGAGAATGCTCAGGCTTGCAGTATAAGAGCAGAAGAATCCAGAGAAGAAGAAATTAAAGAGATAGCTGTGGATATAAGGTAAAAGGCTTGTGATTTCTTGTATGGAATTAAAAATGTTGAAGCAGAGGAAGAGGAAGTCGGCGGCGGCCAGATTTAAGATGTAGACCGAGATGGGATTTCTGCGCATCTGGAAGCCCAGGAGCCAGATCACAGCTGCATTTCCTGCCATTCCAACCACAGCTGTGATGAAGGTCAGTGAGTAAAGAATCAGCTCCTGTAAGTCACAGGTTCCATGACGGAGATGAACATCTTCACTCATTCCTGGGACTTGTGTCTTCAAAGCTGGTGTGATTGGATCCTTGCTCGGAAACCCTCCACTGGTAATCCTGGGAACAGAAACAAGACTTGGAGTATTTCCTGGAGTATTTCTGATTCTCAGCATCACCTTGCTTTGTGAGAAAATAGTGGATCTCTGAGATTAAGTAAAATGCAAAGAGCTGGCAATTCTGGGATATGGAATTGAATCCAACACTATGTATGCACAGCATGAGCTCCCTGTCCTACATGACAGCTCCTCTAATGACACAGAACTTTGCTATGATCCAGTCACCCCATTCAGTGGACTCGCAAAATACACCCAGCACTACTCTGTTCTTTACCAGAAATTTCTCTCAGGTGAAGCAATTCAGAAAGCTAAAAAAAAAAATTCACCAGGATATTCTCATGACTAAGAAAGTCCTACTTACCCCTGTACCCTAGTGGAAATGTGAGCTCTTTCTAGGAAAAATGGTGGAAAAAAAACAACCTAAAAATGGTGGCATAAAACAGCCCAAAAATGGCTCAGAGTTTCAGGCACTGAAGACAGGAGAATTTTTTATATTTCCATATTTAGCTATAGGTAAAGTACCTACTTCAGAATTTATTCGGTGAATGAATGCATTTATACAGAGCCTTCCCATCTTAGCTGATTTGGGTTAAATAGAAAATCAAAATACAATAGAACAAAAGATAACAGAGCAGACACAGCTAATGTGGTAAAGAAATTCGTTCATCCTAAATCTTTTTTGCATACAGTTCTATTTATGTGTTACAAATATGATATATATATATATATATATATATATATTGCTTAGCTAATAAGCTAAAAGAATTTTGGTGCCTCATCTGGGGAAGGGAGAAGGTGAGCTCTGAGTCTCATTGAGGGGAGGTATTTGAGGTGTAGGAATATCTACTGGAGAAGCATCAAGTACTAGGCTCTGAAGTGAATCATATAAACCCAACCCAAATCCTCTTCCAGATCTTTGATAGAGCTCTGGGCTGAAGGCTCTTATATGAGAGGAGTTTGTCAATGGAAGTAAGTAAAAAAAAAGTACAGCTTGTGAAATATAATAACAGATGATTAAGCAGATTTCAACTGGAGATAAATGCCCTGTTTACACCAGGGTGAAAAATACTAGTAGCTTGAGGGTCTACCAGGAATTGTCTCTTTTAAGCTGCTCAAGATCTTATGGATATAATTTATTGTTTTTGTTCCATTTAACAAAAGATTGAATGAGAACACAAACTATATGAATGATTGATCCTGGGTCTCAGGATAGATTGGAAGCAAGTAGAGGTGTCTCAAGCCTGCTGTGCTACTAACAATTTGAACATACTACCCATTATGTGTGAATTAGAGATGATGAAGAAAAATTATGTAAATTCCCAAGTTATAACCAATATTGGAGTCAAAATTGTGGAGGAAATAAAATCTAGCATTAAAAAAAAACTTCAGAAACAAGAATGAAGAGAATCTATCAAATAGGAACCGAAAGAGAAGTGGGTAAAATATCAGAAATGGATAACAGAATCCAGGAAACAGTTCCTGCTCTAAGCAGGTAGAGCAGAGGCCTTCAAGAGGAAAGAGGGCACATCCTTCTGGGGATACGGAGAGGAGGCATGGGATGAATGAATCCATCATGAGCTCTCATGGACAGATAAGCTTCCAGAGCTTTGGGTAGCTTGAACAGGAAATGAGAGGAAAAACCTATATATATGGATCATACTATGAAATTTGCTCTTAGGTTGATGCATTGGTCTTCCTCATCAAATGTGAAGCTTTATACAGACTAAACCATGCACATATTATTTACTACTCTTACCCAACATTTAGCATGTGTTCCTTAGTCTATATATTTTGTTTCTCTCTCAACACAGGAAAAAAGAATTCCGTCTCTTAAGCATAGGAGACAATTTTCCTGAGTTCACATCATCAAGCAGGACAAATGACAGCTCTTGAGCGTTTGTGTAAGGTTTTTCTCTGTCTCTATCCCATTATTCCTTACACCTGAGGAACTCCCAAAAACTCTTCATAGGACCACACAGAATCTGAGAAACTTTCAGGAATGATATAGACTGCTATAGTCCCCTACTAGCCATCTTTTCCTCTGAAAGAGAGGGATTCTATGAGTCTTAAATAAGAAAGCAGGTATTTTATTTCATTCTATTTTGATTCTAATGGTGCCTTCGCATATTCATAATGACTACTGGGAGGCGAGTAGAGGAATATAGCCAATTTCTGAGACTTCAGATTAACAGGAATATAACCTCTATTTCTGTCTTCTTTCCCAGAGTAGCATGTGGTATGTCAATATGATTGAGAATCATGTGCATCAAATGTTGTTGACAAACATCATTTGTGACTGGGGAATGAGGATTTTAAAGTCTTGTGTTAGATGCTGTGGTGCTTCCAGATTATGTCTTACAAATGTATTGCTAAAGTATTTATATAATGGTCCTGTACCTAAGTACCACCCTTACTTTCTAACCAGTAAGGACATTTTAAGGTTACATTCTAGTTTTGAAGCATTTTTTAAATCAGCATGCTGAATGCTCTAGAGAAATGATCAAAGAGAAATAAGATACAAGCTATAAATAATAATTGTTTTAGAAATAGGAAATTCTTCAATGATATTTACATAAAAACCCTAATGAAGGAAGAAGACACAGAAGATATGAAAGATAGTCTCGTGTGCCATGAAAGATTTCTTTCCAATGTTGTCTGTAGTCTTTGGCATCCCAAGAGAGAGTTTTCTATGGACCTTCCATCTTGGATCCTTTGTCATATGTGTCTATTTGTGTTGAGCAATTGAGTTCAACACTGTGGACACACTGATGGGCAAAAGGAACAGGATTTGAGGTTTTCATTTTCCACTTTACACTTACAAAGTTGTGATTTGCCAATGGCAATGTATCTCCATATGCTTGTTCATCCTCTTTTACCACTGCAAATATTGCTAGGGTAATACCCCAAGCTTCAACACTTCCTTCCATTGCTCCTTAAATCCTAGGGGTAGAGATCTTGCTTCTCTTTTTCTTATGTTCAGGTGATTCACGATACACTGCCACTTTCCCATAACCCTGTTCAACTTCCAGTCACCTCCTGAAAGACTTTGCAATTATTCCAATTTGAACAATCTGTTTTTTTTCTATTTGAATCCTTGAGAGATATATAATAGAGAATACATTTGCAAAGCAATGAATCCTGTATTGTAGGATCCAAATTTTGAAAGTTTCTGTCTCCTCATTTCCCTGATTTAAAAAAAGCAAAAAAAGCAACGTGTCCCCCTCTATGTAGCACCCTGTGTTAGAAATACAGAGATATAAACTCAAAGAAGGCATCTTATCATAAATCTGAAAGTTATTGGAATATACTCTTACATTTCTTCCATATTTCTGTCCAGATGAAGAGAGAGGATTCGTGGTGAAGGAGAAGAGACTTTCTTAGATTGAGTGAAACTCAAGTACACTTCCTTTCTCTCTAATTTAAGAGACGTCTATAAGAGCTGGTGTTCAAGCTGGAAACCCAGGAGGCTTCTGAAGACTGCACAGTTCTGGTGATTTCCTGTACTGGGAACAAATCAGAGAGACCAGAGCCATGTGAATCACAATTCTTCTCTGAGCTTTTTGTGGGATCTGCTCTGTTTCTACTCTAGTATCTGCCTGTTATCCAATTCCCATTCAGTCCACCTTCCTTTAAGTAATTACTGTTCTGTCTTTCAATGGCCATGTCCAAGCCTAGCTACAAATACTAAGCAATATTGGCATGCATTGGGAAGTTTTAAAGACTGAAGCTTAGTAGGGAGCCATTGCCATTCAAAGTTCACCCTGGCATGTGCTGCTTCAGTATTCATCACAGCAGAAACATATTCCAAGTTACAGAGAAATATATACACAAGTTGTTAGGCTCCCTGAATCCCATTCTCAAAAGTGTTTTCACCTCCTATGCAAAAAAGTTAAAAGGCAACATAAATAGCAAGTGAAAACATTTGCACACTACATATTTGACCATATTTTTTTATTTTTAATATATATTGTAAAGATGCTGTACAGAGGGATTACAGTTACATGAGTAATGTAATGAGTGCATTTCCTATTGAACATTGTTACCCCCCACCTTTGGTTTTCCCCTACCACCTCTTCCAGCCCCACTTCCTCAACCTCCTTCCGCCCCTCCCTGAAGTTGTAAAGTTCATTTTCAACATAGTTTCTTGTACATCTCATTGCTACAATGGGTCAACCTGTATCATTATTTCAGCATTTTGTTATTTCCCTCCCTCTCTCCAAATTAGAAAAATGTGTATACATGATGTAGGACACCAGACTCAAATACAGTGAAAAACAGGGGTTGTACCGTTGGGGAAGAACATACAAAAGAAACAAAAGAAAAACCACATAGTACATTATAAGTACATTAAAAACAACAGCAACAAACATAAAACTCTTGTATCCCTATTCTGGATTTCATTTTGCTTAGCATCATCTTATATGGTCGTATGTGCATAGCTTTTGACCTTTTCTGCTTGTCCTAGACATATACTAGTTATGTATATATATATATATATATATATATATATATATATATATATGTATATATCACATTTTCTTGATCCCATTCATCTACTGATGGGTATCTGGGTTGCTGCCATATCTTAGCTATAGGGAATAATGATGTGATAAATATAGTTGTGCTGGTAGCTTTAGTATGGCCTTGTTTGTGGTGGTTTGGATAAATGCCCAGAAGTGGGATTTCTGGGTCATAGGGGAGCTCTGTGTGTAGTCTTTATTTTTCTCATGGGGCCTGAACCCTGGGCCTGGGCATTGTACCTTGGCTCTTCAGCTCAAGGCTAGCATTTTACCACCTGAGCCACAGCGCTACTTCCGGCTTTTTCTGCTTACACAGTGTTAGAAATCGAACCCAGGGCCTCATGCATGCAAGGCAAGCATTCTTCCATTGAGCCACCTTCCAAGCCTATGTGTAGTCTTTTGAGGAAGCTCCATACTACTTTCCAGAGTGGTTGAACAAGTTTACACTCCCACCAACAATGCAGTAGGGTTCCCTTCTGTCCACATCCCCTCCAGCATCTGTTGTTAGTAGATTTCTTCATTATAGTCATCCTAACTGGGGTAAGGAAGGATCTCAATGTTGTTTTGATTTGCATTTCTTTTATGGCTAGAGGAGTTGAGCATTTCTTCAAGTGTCTATTGGCCATTCTTATTTCCTCTTCAGAGAAGCCTCTCTTTAAGTCTTTAGCCCACTTATTAATTGGGCAGTTGTTTCTTGTGGATCTGTTGTTTGGGGATTTAATTTTTTGAGTTCTAAGTATATTTTACATGTGAGGCCCTTTTGACCGTATATTTTAGAGAATTAAAAATTAAAAAATCAACAAGATGCTACCAACTATACTAGAAAGGCTAATATTTGAACAAGGGAATAAAAAATGACTCCCACTTTTAGATGACAGGTGGAAATTTCTTATAAGATAAGGAGGCTTATCATAGAACTCTGCAATGTGCTCCTAGGGCTTTATGCAAATGAGTTAAAAACAAACATTCAAATCAGTGTTGCAGCTTTGGTAATAATGCCCCACACATGAAACCAACCAAGACATATTTTAGTAGATGAATGGAAAAACAAGTTTTGGAACAGCCACAAAATTAAATGTTATTCATCAACAAGAAAAATGAAGCATCAAGCTATTTTTAAAAAGCATAGAACAACTTAAATGCATATTTCCAGGTTAAATGTTAGTCTGAAAAAGCTACATATAATGTGATTACAATTAAATAAAATATTAGAAAATGTAAAACTGTATAGATAGTAAGATGATCACTTATAACAGTTCACAGAGTTCACTACCCTAAAAATTCCTTGTCATCCAAGACAACTGATACGTTTTATTTGTCAAAATCTATTGAAGTATAGGACAAAGTCACCCCAAATCTAACATCTGGATTTTGTTTTATGATAATGTGTTGATATTAATTCACCAATTTGAATACATCACGCTAATGTATATTTTTCCACAAACATGGAAGCCGAGGGTGAGGCTAGAGATAGGGAAAAAGGTATATTAGGAAAATACCAAATACTTTACACAATATATACTCTCATCCTCTCCCATATACATGGATGGATGGATGGATAGATAGATAGACAGATAGATAGATATAACATATATATGTGTGTGTGTGTGTGTGTGTGTGTAACATGCGTATATTTATCTATATCTATATATGTACTTCTAGGTATATATGCTCATGTAAATATATGAATACAGCATCTTGAAATTAGATACTTTTTGTGTGTGTGAAAATACCATACAAAGGTGTTACAATTACATGGGCAAGATAATGAGTACATTTCTTTTTTTAAAATTTTTATTAAAATAGAGCTCCCCTATGACCCAGCAATCCCAATTTTGGGCATTTACCCAAACCATCACAAACAACGCCATACTAAAGCTACCAGCACAACTATATTTATTGCAGCATTATTCACTATAACTAAGATATGGACCCAACCCAGATGCCCCTCACTAGAGGAATGGATCAAGAAAATATGGTTTATATATATATATATGGTATATATATATACCATATATATATATATATATATATATATATATATACCATACACACACACACACACACACACACACACACACACACACACAATGGAATTCTATGCCTCCATCAGAAAGAATGACACTGCCACATTTGTTAGGAAATAGTAAGACTTGGAAAAAATTATATTAAATGAAGTAAGCCAGGCCCAAAGAAACATAGGTCCCATGGTTTCCCTTATTTACAATAACTAGTATATGTCTAGGATAAGCAGAAAAGGTCAAAAGCTATGCACATATGACCATATAAGATGATGCTAAGTGAAATGAATCCCAGGATAAGGACACAAGAGGTTTTATCTTTGTTGCTGTTGTTTTTAATGCCCTTATAATGTACTATGTGGTTTTTTTCTTGTTTGTTTTGTATGTTCTTCCTCCATGGTATAACCCTGTTTTCACTGTATTTGATGTCGGTGCCCTGCATCTTGTATACACATTTTTCTAATTTGGGGAGGGGAAGGGAAATAACAAAATGCTGAAATAAGGATACAGGTTGACCCATTGTAGCAATGAGATGTACAAGAAACTATGTTGAAACTTCAGGGAGGGAAGGGAGGAGTTGAGGAGGTGGGGCGGGAAGAGATGGTAGGGTAAAAACAAAGGAGGGGGTAACAATGCTCGACGGGAAATGAACTCATTACCTTACTCTTGTAACTGTAATCCCTCTGTACAATATCTTTACAATTAAAATATATGTAATAAAAAAGGAAAAGGCAAAAATTGAAGGCATGCATTCCTCATTTCCATACATATTTCAGTCATCCAGGCTGACCCATTTGAGTTCATGCTCATAAACCCTCTACTGGTGACTATGAAAGCACAAACACACTTGAATGCTTGCTATGTGGGTTCTGATTCTCCAGGCCATTTTGCTATGTTGCAGTTGTTTTCATGCTTACTGGAGAATAACAAAAGCTTTCAGAGGTTAAATAATTTTTCCAAGTGATCCTGGAAGATGGATAAAATCCCAGTATTTTCAGAATCTAAAGCTTAGCCTTTCTCTTTGGCAACTAAATCCATTACTGGCATGGAAACATTCTATTGTGCCAATATGCTTACTGACAGTCTTAATTTATGGCACCTGGAAGTAGACGAAGAAAATCTAGGGCAGACTGTGAGTAATACAGATGAAGATGTGAGCCAAAATTCTTCTAGACAAAAGTTTCTTCTTGGCTGTAAGAATTGGAGAACTCCTGGTGTGATTCATGGCCATCCTACTGATGACAGTAGCTCTTCCAATAATACCATGATTTATGTGTAAGAGTAGCTAAATGCCTTAGGATAGAAATATCTATGTAAGTCAGTATTATGAAGTCATTGTTGTGTCCAATATCCGATTCCACATGGAGGTAGGAAATCTGGAATAATTTTCACATAAAAATGTGCAGTAAAATTAGCCACAAGAAAACATACATATAAAGAGATAGAAAAAATATAATTGTGTACAATCCTCTCTGGAAAACACAAGTATGTTAGAAAGAATTCTTTTTGCCTGTAGGTATAAGTTCTGTCATGTCTCCATTCCAGGGAGACCAAGTTTCTGGCTTTGTTGAGTAACTAGAAAATATTAAGGCTGTAGTTTAGGGAAATAATTCAAGGATAAAATGAATTTCCTAAGGTTTGGAAGGCCAAAAACAAAACAAGACAAAATGCTTGATCAAATAAATAAATAAACTTTTTAAATTAAAAATTAAAATTATAAAAATTAAAAAGCTTAAAATAGACTAGAAAATGGCAATAGTATTAAATAGAGGGAATATGGCACAGAACTATCTAAAGGAAGCTAGTTGCTGATTTGACATGAGATTTGCTTCACAAAAATCCATTTAATATCTCCCCAATACTATCCCATTCTCCTAGAGTTTCCTCTAGAGCTTTCCCACTGTTTTCTACCTCATGATTTACTATAGGAGGAGCTCCTAAGGAAAAAAAATATGAAAAATTGTAAAGGAGAATTCAGTTGTAGAAAACTATTGATTGTTCCAAAAGCTTATATTCATTATGTCTCACATAATGGGAGAAATTTAAACCAGAGAAGGGATCCCAATCTCCAATTCCCTTTATGGTTTTGGCCCCTGTGAGAAAGCACCAGTCAGGGGAAATAAAGAGGAAATGACAAAACAATCCTTTGGATTGTGATATTCTTTGTTCTTTTCCTTCAGTGTACATGGCTAATGCAGCTGGGAGTCATGTGGGATCATTGGGATGAACACACATCCCTAGTGAGGAGCTTGTAAAAGGAGCTCTGTTGGGGTGCTATGGACGAGCCAGACTAAGTCTAATAAAAGTTCTCTCTGGTTTAACTATGGTAAAAGTTTGCCCCTTTATACCTTCGAGTCTCACAAACTTGAATACTTTTGAATATATAAGTAATTTCAACATTTTACTACATCTCTTTCTTAATGATCCTAATGAAGAATTACTCAAAAGATGATGCCAGATAAGTATGCTAAAACAAATGAAGATCAAAATCCTGATAGCAGATACAGTGAAAAAAAATGAATGCAAACATGCTGAGATAAAGAAGTTCTCAGAAAATTTGCAGTGAACGACTTACAGGAAGAAACTATTCTTTTTCTCATATGTTGATACTATTGTCTTTCCAAATCTAGTACCACTAAATTTTCTCCCCTCACCCAATTGTTCTCCCTGATAGGGATGGTTTTTATGATTCCATCTAATTTTCTTTAAACTTATCTACACTGGTAAATTTTCCCTTGATTTGATTAATCTCAGACACCCCATCAGACATACCATCTTGCTGGGTATACACGTAGAAGATAAAACTAAGCAAGCCACACAAACAAATAGTTTTGAACAGTACTTTGGGGGAAAGCATTTGCAAATACTGCATCTCTCTTCTGAAGTGAATGAAAACAGCAGATTTCCTAACATTTCACCACACTGAATGGTTAGAATGACGGGTAAGAGAGAACAGTCCTACTTCATAGTTTTCAAACAACCTCATAGCTAGGTAAGCCTGCTAGCACTCGAAATTTCAGGAGGGAGCTTTGTAGTCTCCTGTTTGCTTCTGCCCCTGTGGTTCTTGAGAATTTCTGCCCCAGTGTGAGGGAATTTAGATTTGGATTTTAAAAAAGATTACAGTAAATTGTGAGACAAGTTGATGACAAGTCTTACCTTTTCTCCATTCTTCTTGCTGGATGTGGTTAGCTGGTCTGTGAAGAAATGAAGAACATCCCAGGTTTTCAGTCTCTACAGGACACTCCACTGCCCTGGAGAGATCTCTGAGGGAGTGAATTCTTGCTCAACTGACATTCAGCAAGATATTTGACAGCGTGTGACTTCCTGACCTCGAACATCCTGACAAAGGAGAATGGGAAGTTGTGCTTTGTTCCTCATGAGATGTTCTCCACATTTGGTCTTACTCTTCTACCTCTCACATTCTACCCATCACCATCCCAAAAATCATATTCCCTGCAAGTGATGTTTTTTTTTTAAGTTTCCTGCTGCCAAATAACTAGCAGGGCCAAACAATGTATGAGCCTCCTGAAGACATTTGTAATGAAGAACAAAGCATAACTTGGGGCTGGGAAGGTGGCTCAGTGGTAGAGCGCTTGCCTTGCATGCCTGAGGCCCTGGGTTCGATTCCTCAGCACCACATAAGCAGAAAAAAAAAGCCGGAAGTGGCACTGTGGCTCAAGTGGTAGAGCACTAGCCTTGAGCTGAAGAGCTGAAGGACAGCACCCAGGCCAAAGTTTAGGCCGTGTGACTGATTAAAAAAAAAAAAAAGAACAAAGCACAACTTTTTGCTCACTATGGCCTTGCTAACATGGTTCTTTGTCTTTGAAATAAATACAAGCTTCTTTCCATGGAGACAGAAGTACAAGAGAGAAATGGTAAAAAAAAAAAAAAAAAACGAACAAATAAATACATAAATCTGGCTAGGTGCTGGTGGCTCTCACCTGTAATCCTAGCTACTCAGGAGGCTGAGATCTGAGGATGGTGGTTCAAAGCCAGCCCGGGAAGGAAAATCTGTGAGATTCTTATCTCCAATTAACTATCAGAAAACTGGAAATGGTTCTGTGGCCTTGAGGTGAAGAGCTCAGGGACAGTACCCAGGCCCAGAGTTCAAGACCCATTACCAACAACAACAACAAAATCTGAATTTTACTCTCTAGAATCAATAACTTAAATTTAAGTTTTTCCTTTCAATTCTTTGTTATTGTATATTTCAGCAGTAAATTTGTGTTTCTGTGTTTTACTTCTTTAGTATTAAAGAAGCATCAGTTATAAAGATTTGAATACAGAAGAGAATGTGGAATTAAAAAGGCATTTACAATAACTGTGATCCAGTAAAATTTCACAATGAAACTTCATTTGAAAGTTCCACATAGGAAATTTGGACAATGTGACAGTTGTAACTCATACTTATACCCCCAGCTACTTGGGAAGTAGATTGGGAAGACTGAAGTTTAAGAAAATCTAAGCAGCAATTAGCAAGATACCATCTCAAAAAAAAAAAAAAGAAAACCCACCTCCGTATAGAGGTTGAAACCTGTCTTTCCAGCTAGGTGAGTTCATGGTCTCCTCTGCTCTGCCAAAATCATGAGACCCATCTCAAGATGATTTCTTTGTTGCTTTGTATGTCCCTCCCCCACGGTATACCCCCTGTTTTCAATGTATTTGATGTTGGCATAATTTGTGGAGGGGAAGGGAAAAAACAAATTGTTTAAATAGAGATACAGGTGAACCCATTGCAACAATGGGATGTACTAGACGTTATATCGAAAAACAAACTTTATAACTTTAGAGGGGGGAATGGGAGAGCAAGGATGGGAAGGGGAAACAAAGGAGGAGGCAACAATGCTTGATAAGAATGTACTCATTTCCTTGCTCATTTTCACACACGAAAAAACTTATTTTTAAAAAAAGTAACCAAAGTAAGAAGGACTGGGGTGTAACTCAGTTTTAGAGCATCTACCTTTCAAGAACAAGGCCTTGAGTTCAAATTCCTTTACTGTCCCCCTTATAAAGGAAAGGAAAGAAAATTTAGATAATATATGATATCAAATTAGTAAGAGGAAACGATAGATAGTAAACATACTGCAACAGAAATGGAGAAGGTTATAGAAGAATGCTTATGAGAAGACTTTCCATAGCTTAGAAAAGATATGATGAGCAGTTATGGAAGGCAGCTAATAAAAATTTTCCAAATTAAGCAACTTAATAGGCAGCTACAGACCTATGAAGCACAGGCAAGCAGTGTGATCTCTATATTGTGGGGGTTATGATTAAATAACAAAAACTTGCATTGGGTCACTCAATTCACCATGGCTTGAACTATTTTTAATCTTTTTTTATCATAGCATCATACTTTTGTTCAAAATGACATAGAACTATAAACAAAGTCTAAGTTTTATTTTCCAGATATCATCACTTGGCACTCTTATCATTCTTATTTCTCTCTTATATCTCTCTTATTTCTAAGTAGTACTGTTTTTCTATTTTAATATGCTAACGTTATTAACTAACATAGGATAAATAATATCCTTTGGTTATTTAGGTCCATAAGTACAAGCCACTTTTGAGATATTTAATGGCATGTGAGCTTTCTACTTCAAAAATATTTATCCTTTTCCAGGTATGCTCATTCCTAGCCTATTATCTCTTTGGGGCTGTTGTTTTAAATAAGGTCCTCTCTGTGATTATATTATCTTCCTTCCTTCCTTTCTTTTTTGGCCAGTCCCAGGGGTTGAATTCTGGGCCTGGGCACTGTCCCTGAGCTTCTTTTTACTTAAGGATACTAGTCTACTACTTGAGTTACAGTGCCACTTCCGGCCTTTCTGTTTATATGGTACTGAGGAATTGAACTCAGGGCTTCATGCATGCTAGGCAAGGACTCTACCACTAAAGCCACATTCCCATCCCATGTAATTATATTCTCTAACTGGTAATTGTACATGGAGTAGTCTCTTTGTTAAATTGATATCCAGTTTTATAAATCTTAAGCTGACCACAACTATATCTGTGCTCAAATCTCTTTATCCTCACATTCTCTTTAAGAAAGATTTTGTAACTGCTACTAAATTCTTTGGGTAGTGTAAGGAATGATAGTCATTTTCATGGTGAAAACCATTCTCTGAATGACTTCTACTATTAGCAATGCCACAAAGAAGGCTGAGAATGTAGCTAAGTAGTGTAATGCTTGCCTAACATGCGAGAGGACCATGCTTCAATCCCCAGCACCATTAATGAACAAGCAAACATATCAGCTTAATCTCATTTCAGGCTATTTAACTCTCAGTGGTAGCCATGAATTCTTGTCTATGCTAAAGCTAAATCTCACTGTCTTATTTTGAAAATAGATTCTATACCACTAATAGCATAAAATTCAGATTTGGAAATCAAATGACTTTACTACTTGTTTGGGTTGCCTGGAGTTAGAATGTGGCCTAGAGTAATCATTGGGACACCATGGAATCAAGGTGTTCTCAGCTACCTCCAGTGGTCTTTCTAATCTAGCATCTCAGTTTCTGTACCCCTATATATCCAGAATGTCAATGTATTTCTAGACTCTATCAGGGAAAGAGATAAACAATCACCATATTTGAATAATAAAGACCCTGTTGTAATTTTCTTTGAGAGTAACAGTAAAAATTTTTTTTAATTTTTAAAAAGAAAGTAACAGTAAAGTTTATTAAGAAAAGAATATACTTTCATTAGAGTAAAAGTGGTTCATTGTCAATTTAAGAATGACAATTATTTTTATCCTGGCAACATATAGTGGTAAGTCTCTACCCAGGAGTAGTCACTGGGCAAACTCTCTATCCCAAGGTTGAGGGAGGTTTTTGACTTCGGCCAATGAGGAAAAGTAGAGGGATAATGTAAAGAGGATAGATTCCCCAAGAAAGAGGAAATGGAAGAAATAAAACACAATGCAACAGAAATGAAGAACATT